TGTTTAACAGTAGTTTCACAGTAGGGGGCGATGCTGCTACGCGCAATCCCGATCGAGTAATTTGCTCTCTAATTATTTCTATCGGAAAATTTGGACCGTGATGCCGGCACACAATGGCCTCTATTTAAATGACGTTACGGGATTTTTACTGGACACTGAGAAGCAGACGCCACGTATTGTACGGTTAACACACCGGCGGTATTAACAAGGGCAGTCCGTCAGTCTTGAACTACAAACCTCTGCTATGAGCTACCAACACACCCCCGCTCGACCATGTAAATCTGCAATGGTTCCGTCCTTCGTACCATTACAGATTCTGGAATGTCATACCGCTGTTATAGCCGTGCCGCTATAGAGCGTAGATTGATCAAAATGTCATGTAAAGACAATCAACGCAACAATAAAACTGTGGAGTTGCGTTATCTATAATTCCTCGACTTGTTTAAGAGGTGAATCGTTACATCCGATAACAAATAAGAACACAACCAAACATCGATACAATGCATACGTGCTTGTGTACAGATGTACGCACACCTATATACTATACTTGTATGCCATATGTACCATTGTTTGCTTTTTAAAAGGGCTGTATGAATGTTAAGATTATATAGAGGGCACCCCCGTTGCTGTCTGTGTCGATATATTACATGCAGAAGCATACGCATGCATACTCCGCATGTACGTATATACAGTATATACATATACACACATCTGCATGTACACATATACAGAAATATACAATTGTACATGTGCACATGCACGGCCACTGCAAAATTAAAAGTTGACGTAAGGTGTTGTTCCATGTGAAAAATAGTTGCATCTTTAAAAACCTCGAGCAACATTTAAAATGCAAACGCATACGTTTCCAAAATTCTACGGAGCAATACGCGGGTGATGCAAAGAATAGGAATGCAATAGGGTATAGTTTTGGTGGTGGGTGTTTTAGTATCGCCACGCCAAGTGGCAACTTGCAAGCCTGGCGCCCCAAGCGCAAAGGCTTGGAATGTTCCATTTAATTTGTATTCTTTTTTTTTCCAAAATGTATTTTCACCTAGGAAATCCCCTCCAGATGGAACATCTCCGCTTGAAAGGGTGTCCAGGGCACACAGTACAGGGCAGACCTCGCTTAGAGCTCAAGATGCGTTTCTGGAGAAGTGAACGCTAATCGAATCAGCACTAAAAGGGGTCATTATACCATTGCATATATGGGGATGCGTTCCTGGCGGCATTTTCATTTGTATGAGCAATATATGTGGGCTTCATTGGGGTATCAGTAATAGCGCTAATATGAATACAGATAGTAACCATTATTTAATAAATAAAAATAATTTATAACATCGGTATTATGTAACTGTACTCAAGAGTGCATTCTATTGTACTCCTCCGACAAGGCAGCGGTGGGAGATGAGGTTTGAGGAGCTACTGTGGCGCTCCAAATCCGGGTCACTCACCAAAAAACTCCAGAACCTCAGTGATCTCAGCGATGCCCTCGGTCTCAATTTCCGTGGCGAGGTTAATTTTACGTGGAGCCTGAGACTCTATCCTGGTCTCGTGAGCTTTCACCCAGCTAACAATATTTTTTTTTTACTTACGCAATCGTGATGACGAATCGTGGCAATTGAATCGCAGGGGGAGCGGTTTGGATAGTTCAGAGCCGTACGTCGCTCTCTTTGGCCGAGCGAATAATGGGGGGGCGGGTACGTTTCCTCAGACAGCGCTGCATGTTCTCACTCGGAAGGGCTTCGAATATTTTTTTCCCCCACATTTTGTTGTTTTTTCTTTACAAAATTTCTCCAGAACAAAGAGCACCAAAACGAATCGGCGTTCTCAAGGGTCACGCGAAGCGAGGTCCTGCCTGCACCCTAGCAATTGGTTGGACCCAAATCAGTAACTCGGTGAGTTCAAGAGGAATGAAGACAAATTAAAAAAAATGGAAATGTGACCCTGCGCAGTAATGCTAACGTATGGGATAAGGAAAATGCTGTGGACGCTGGCAACGACAAAAAAAACATTAAACACAATAGGTCTGCATAGTAGTGTTAAGCGACAATGTACGGGCAAGGGTACACTCCTATACTTTACATTTCTTTTTTTTAAGCTGAAAAACCCGGAATATTTTTTGGCAACATCAGGCATGATAACAATTTCACTCTCATGGAACATCCTAATATAATACATTAGTTTTTTTTTTACTATTCAACCATGCATGTCTGGAACATTTATGGCACACAGATGGACCCTAGTTTATTGTGGTAGAATAGGCAGTTTCCCACGAATAATTCGTGGGAAATGGTCAATTTCCACTGCGTTACGACATTCGGAAGTTTTTCAGCCACAAATTGGAATGAAAATTATTTATGCCAAGATACAAATCGGGTCCAACATACGGGACGTATACACACAGTGTGCACTGTCAGCCATCACTCGTTAATCAAGCTGAGAGAGCTCAGAGTGAAGAGTTAAAATCTTTAGTTGGCCAGCCTGAGACAAACGATTAAGTGTACTGGAGCCTCATTGTGAAGGGCATCGATTCACAAAAAAATTACTAAAGGGGAAGCAACTATGACACATTCATAAGATATTTCCGCTGAACACACCTAAGATCCACTCATCTGAAATTGTTCCACAAACAATACTATTTTAATGAGCCACATTAAAATTACATTTTACACCCCGTGTGGCCAGTGACTGCAGGCAAATATCAAGAGGGGCAGTACTGCATCACTGACTCTCGGCTAACAATGTCAATCTGGGTTAAAACTTGCTAAAACTGTGACAAAAACGACTCATACCAATAGTTTGCCCCACCACCTCCTACTGGGCTGACTCACACCCATCTCTGAGCCCAGGTGCTTAGTCACATTTTACCGCACAGGGGCAGCTGTCAAAAAGGGGTTCCAGGCTCCGAGATGTTTCATTACGTGATAGGGAAAGCGCGACATACATGCAAGCACCATTCATTCACGTTATGCCCATGTCAAATATCTCAAAGAGGGCAATGTAAATGCGAGTTGTTTGTTGTTGTAATTTGTCTCGGTTTTTTTTGGGCATAAACCGTATTTGAAAATATAATGCTTAAAATGTGCTTATGCAGCAAAAATGAACACGACACTTGATATTTTCCCAAACCCATCAACGCAAGTCCATACCCTCTGGGATCTTTAAAAAATCCAAAACCAACACCACTGCCGCCAGCTGGTGACAAAATATTTCCCCCATGAGAGAAATCATTTAAATGCTTCATGAGACCTCCTTTGCCAGTACCAAAATATTGTAGGTTTTCCCTTTTTTTCTGACAACAAAACAGGTGTTAAGATGTTAAAACACCAAACTAAAACCTTTTACAAGGAACCATGTCTGCATTAACCACTGTTTCTGGTCAGAATGCAAACAAAAACATACTCTGATAATATATGCATTGTCCTTGACGCCTTTTGGCGTCCTCCGGTCTAACACCGTTTGAGACGAGGCTCAAAAGAAAGCTGTCTCTCGTGTAGACCAATCAGTTTCAAGGACAATGCATATATTATCACAGTATGTTTTTTGTTTGCATTCTGACCACAATACTTATGGTTCTTTGTAAAAGGTTTCAGTTTGGTGTTTAAACATCTTAACACCTTTGACTTAAAGCTTTCGTGACTGCAGGGATTCATATTATTGGCTCTTTCGGTAAAGTCACTTTATCGAAAGAACCAAGAAGATCTTAACACCTGTTTTGTTGCCAGAAAAAAGGGGAAAAACCTACCATCTCATTTAAATGATGTGTCATACTGCATTTACAAACAACTGCAATTGTGGTTTTTACTACGTTTTGTAATTCCGTCAATGAGGCAAGGGGATTGTAATGTGTAAAATATGACTTGACGGCGTGACCATCTGGGAAGGTCACTGCCACGTTCATGGTTGCTTAAATGGGTCTTCGACTATAATCTGCCCCTGTCTCCAATTAAAACTGTCAACACGATCACACACTGCAAAGTGGGTCAAGCCAGGTTCTAAACAACAATTCTAACAAAACGTCCTGGGACGGCAGCTCACAAGCCGTACTGCGTGCGATAATACTGCGATGTATCCCACTGAGTCGAGTGAATGCAGACGGCGGTACACAGGAACAATACAGCTTAAGCGGATTTGGCCATTTGTAATGCCCTGCTATGAGTGGTGTGTGAATTGCTCAAAGGATGAGAGAGTTTAAAGTTTATAAAATGTCCCATTTGGGGCTATCTGGGGGTTATGAGAAATGGCAAGATATTCTAATCTGCTCATTTGTTCAACTTTTCCAAATCACATCAATGTGATCTATTTGTAATGCAATTAATTACGCGAAATTCAATTCAAAGTTCAATTCGTTCCTTAATTTAAACCAGGTGAAAGCCCTCCGAGATTTGCACCTTCTTTTGTGAAAGACACCTCAGTAAAATATAGCTGCAAAGGAACGCAACGCAGTAACAAAACCAATGACGGCAGTGCGATTAAAGCCTGTAAACGACACAGCCGACTACTCCCGCAAACGATGCCACAGGATCCTCGATGTCCATCCATAATACTGCATGCGATCCCCACGCTATTCACCGGCAACCAAGTGATTAAGATGTGATGGGTTTCTGGAAGGGAGACAGCACAGATTATGACGACGGGACACACAAACGCTCGTTCTTAAACCGCCCGTAAGGTCTCCGTCGCGCTCCCTGCATGAGGTGTCGCGGAGTGTGCGTGCGTGCTTTGTCCGGTGTGCGAGTGGTGTTTAAGGAGGGGGCGAGTGGGAGCAGACGGTCAAAGTGGAACACGTGGATGGACATGTGCGTGCAAGTGAGCTGCTGTAAACGCACCACACGGAGTTGCGCCACGCTCCGTGTCTTTCAGAACCCCCGTTCATCGAGCCATCAGTCAGTGCCATCGGAAAAAAAACACATCGGCGATAGGAAAGGTACTGTCAGAATAAACCGGCATTCTTACGAAGGTATTACATCACATGCCCCGTGGGTCTCCTATCTTCTCCTTTAACGAATGCCTTGGCATGCTTCAACAATTATTCGTAAAATTATCACCGCCTATCATGTCTTGTCCGAGAAATACGTAAAACTTAACCTACTTGCGAAGCCATTAATTATCAGTGGGCATCATAATATTTACTTTAACTCATGTCGTACCCATTAAGACGTGAAAATGTCATTTTGACACAAGCAAAACGAGCAAGTACTGACTATTCTAAATTTGCCTTCAGAACAACAACACCTGAAGCAACGGAGTGCGGGGTTGCGAAGGAGGAAGGAGGCTGCATCGCTAACAGGAAGGTGTAAACTCTTCAGCATTCTCAGCAAGATGTACTCCATCGCTTACTTGTTAAAACATTACCCATCGGGGGATTGAACGGGCCCAATAGGTGGGCAGGGAAGGGAATTAAATAAAAACGAAAAATAAATAACATTATCTTTTACGACAGGATCTTACGCACAAACACGTTTTGTCACAGGCTACAGACCCAGTCAGGTTCCTTTTTAGGAATAATTTAGTGTTTCAGTAGTTTAAAATCTGAGCAGGAGAAAATTAAATTAAATTGAACGCAAGCTGCTACAAAGTGCATAGATGTGACTCAGACCAGTTTAAGAATTCTTGAGTAGCATGGGTGACGATGTTGGTTCAAACATTGCCCCATTTCTTAACACGCTGTCCTATGCCACACGACTATGCATAACATCTTACTGTCGGACAGATTAAATGATAAAAGACAATAACAAAACGCTGAAAACAACCTCAACAGACATTTCAACACAGGAATTTGTAATTGACCACTCTATTGGTGGGATCTGGGAAGCACAGCGGAACAGTTCACAGTTGTAGGCAAAACACCCATCGCGATAGTTAGTATTTCAAGCAGTTCCAATCCACAACGAAAATGGGTCCGTTCAAATTCACTATCTTTTTGCTACAGCGAGCTCTTTGAATGGTGAGAGAGCGTGTAGTATAATTCAGCTCAATCAAGTCCGGTTCGAGGCACCAGATATAAATCCACGGTCCACGCTGCTGCAGTCAAGTGCAAAGTTAGACACGTGACGTTTTGTAGGCCCACCAACGATGGTGCTGCTACGTTCGTGACCAAAACAGGAGGGGGGAGCAGTTGGGGACAAGAACGATCCGAGACATATGCGACAATTATCCAAACTGAAACCACCCAAAACAAACACTTAACACTTGAACTTAAACCTTCAGCATCGACCTGGGGAGCAGTTTAAGACTTTAGAAGAGAGCTGTGCTGGAATGAGTTGGGGGGACTGGGTGAGCAGTGTCACGTGAATGCACGTGTGGAAGCAAGGCTTTTCTGGCATTCGTGGGAAAAGCCTTGTGCGCCTTGCATGGGAGGAAACCTTCACTTTATCTTTGAGCAATGGTCCATTGATAATAACAAAAATATTTAGAACCCGATTTTTGTCTGGTGTAAAGCCTAAAGGCCGCGATCCACTCGGGCAATCGATGCCGGCAATCGCCACCGGCACTGGTTGCACAATCATTTCACAGCGTAAAAATCGAATTGCCCAAAGTCTGAATAATTCTGACCAAGCTGCCCCCTAAAAGCGGGCAGCCGGGGTGGCAATGTCCATTCAGATCAGAGAAAGAGCACACGTGACTGCCGAAGAGTGTCGTGCTTTCTTTGCCTGACAAAACATGGTGGGGCTTCCAAATCCAGCATGAGTGGGATCTGGACAGATTAAAGAGAACGCTTTCTGACCAAATGATTTGATCTGGTATGTAATGCATTGTATTGACGAAGTGAATGGCTAACCGACTAGTAATAATGGACTGCATAAGCTACTGAATGACCAGTTTACATAACTAGTGATGAGTACTAGGCCTACCCCATACACAATCAACAGTTTAATTTACAGTCAGTAGATCAATCATTGTTCGGCGTACACACTTATTATCTAGGCTTGCTTTGATTGGCTAGAGAAAGCTCTGTCACTCCATTCCATTGCCCACCCAAGCTTCCATCGTCGCTCATGGTTAATGTATTGCCGGTGATGATTGCTGGCCACGATCGCCCTGCAATTGCCAGAGTGGTTCATGGGCTTAAAGAAACTACAAACTATCCCCCTTAACATGTCAAGGAATGCTACCATTGGAAGCGGTCTCGGCAACTTTATTTTCAAACGTTTAGCCAACCCTAAAATGGCCACGGCTAAAATGCTCCCCCCTCTGTTTATAGAAATAAAAAGGGGATAAAACCCAAAACAGCAGTGCAAATCAAGCTACCTGTGAGTGCAGCTTGCGCCAGCTAGCCCGGAGTGAGCGTGCGAGAAAGCGCCATCACACGAGACAAGCGGAAGGGGGATCCGCTCGCCGCGTTCCACGCGGGCGCCGCAGCAGCACTTTCAAGGCAAAAAGAATGGCAGTGCAGTCCAACGTTGTGGCCATAACGTAACCCGCTCTTGCAGAATCGACTAAACACGCGCATTGCTTATCATTGGGTTGCGATCAATATCACTGACTTATTATCAGGTTTCTCGTCATTTTATGTTTTGCGCCATTGGCAACGCGGCAACTGAGCGATTCCGTAATTTCCGTGCGGGTCGGCAGAGGGAGTTTGTCGCTTGTTTTGTTTTTAGTTCCCATCACAGTTTTCCAAGGGATGCTAGCAGGGTGCGGCCCCATGGCCGGCAAAACCTCACCGCTCGCTTCGCCCTCACTCCACAGCGACCGCACCTCACGCGCAAACAGTTCTTGCCCAAAGGCCCCTCCTCCCGCCGCTTCGCCCACCCGGCGGGGAAAATTCACAAATTCGGCTCGCACAGCGGCACCGTCCCGTCCTGGCTCTGCCCTTCCACGTCCATGTCGAGCAGGGTGCCCACGCTGCTCGACGTGCAGAAGGGGTCTCCGGCGGCAGGCGATAAGGCGCCGCCACGACCGCCGACACTAAACGCCGGCTCGGTGGAGCGACGCGCCAGCAGCAGGTGTTGCGGAGATACGGCGCCCAACGCACGGAACGGAGAGTGCGCCTCGGCCTCCGTTTCACCCGCTAGCCCGCGATGATGCTGCTGGCGCAACACCACGCCCAAGTGGTGATCGCCGCCGGTGGCGGCACCCAACTGCCAATGCGGCTGGTGCTGGTGGCGATGGCAGTGGTGCTGCGCGTCGCCGTCGAAGCTCGACTGCCGAAAGGTGGGCGGCAGCGCGTGGTGTGCCGGCGAAGAGTAGCTGGCGCGGAGGTGCGCGGGCGCGCCGAAGTCGCCGGCACTGCCTGTCGGTGTGGCCGTCCCGGAGTTGCTGGCCGGGGAGTCGGTGCCGCCGTCATGGCGGCCACCCGGCGACATGAAGCGCCAGGGGTCGATGCGGCTGCGTGCCGTCCCCGCCGCCGCGGGGCCGGCCCCGCCTGACGCCGAGCCGCCGGTGCCGCCGCCGGGCGAGGGTCGGGGCCGCGGTGTGAACTCGAGCGTGCGGGGGCGCTCCAGCGCGGGGTCGTGAGAAGCGTCGTCTGATGGGTGGCGCCGCGGGGCCGGCGCCAGCATCGACCGTGGATCCGGCAGGCGCGGGAGCCCGTGGCATGGGCCCTCGCCCACGCCGTTGGCTACAGGGAAAGGGGCGGCGAAAAGAGCTAGATCGCTACCGTGCCGGTGACGGCGGAGGGGGATTTCTGCTGCGAGGGGATAAATGTTTTGAACAAAGATGGCGCTCAACCATGGGAATGTGGAATTTCCAGCATGGGCCTCATCGAGCCGAACCTAAATTGCTTGACCGTTATGGGAATCACTCTTAACTTTATTTAAAAACAACACCGAGAATGGAATTATGAATAAAGTATATCACAAAACTCACCAGAGAATGTCATTAATTATTGCCTGAATTAAGCAGTGAAAATTTGCTAAATGCTTTGTACTGCTGAAATTACACAGCAACAACCCTGCATAAGGTTTCAATTAAACTCGCGTAAGTTTGCTTTTCATTTGCTATGTTACTGTGCTGTGCACCAATACTATGGCATTCCACATTTCATGGATGATTCTGTGATTGTCCTTTCAAGGTTTTTCTGCACAATTGACATCACAGAGAAATCTCTGTTCCTTCACTCGAGACATCCTGCTGACGAGAGATACGCACATCTCATTTAACGGAGCACGAACGGATCTGAGGGTTACAAAGAGCATGGGATTGTGGGTCACACTCTCCTTGTGAGAGAGGAGGGAGAGGACTCTAAGAGGAGGGAGGGATTTCAGTAGCCAATAAATTATTTATATTCAGGGAACTGCATTAAAAGTTACAAGGACAGAGAAATTGTGGGTAGGTGGGAGGTTGGAAATGAAATGCGAATGGGACCTTATGAGTAGGGGATCGCGGGGGCAAGAGGAAGTGGAATTGTGGATGAAGGAGTGGAGGAAGGAGGCAGCACTAACTCGTCGGAGGGAAACCCCCATCGCTGCCGTCCGATGGCGTGCGCTGGTGCGCCGGCCCGTTCTGCCCCGGCAGCGCGCCGTCCGACGGAGTCCTCCGGTGCCTCCTGGCCACGGCGCCGGCCGCCGCGGGGAGCAGCACGTGCGTGGGCGTGAGCGACTGGCCCGGCTCGCGCTTGAAGCTCTCCACGCGGCAGTCCACGAGCGGATTACGCGTGCGCGACACCGCCGCGGCCATCCCGGCGTCCTCGTACGGCGACGACGACGAAGACGGCGAGCGGGGGGCAGCTGCCGTCACGCGCAGCGCCACGCCGCCGCCCGGCGTCGGCGGAGAGTCGACGCTCGGCGGAGTCTCGATCTCGTCGCTGTCCGAGCGCAGCAGCGAGCGCGTCGAGTTGCACTCGGAGATGGACGACAGCGAGTCGAGCGTGACCGACGCGTGCGGCTCGCCGCCGGGCCCCGACGCGGCCGCCGCCAGCGCCGCTGCCGCCGCCTCCTCCTTCTTGGTGGGCTTGCGGCTCGGCGGGCTGGAGCTGCGGCGGAAGCGGCCCGTGCGCTGGAAGAGGCCCTCCTTCTTTTTGGTGGAGCCTACGCCCACCCCAACGCCGACCCCGACACCGCGGTCCGCCGAGCGGTCCCGTTCCGCTGGTTCAAGGTCATCGGGAAGCCCGCCCAGCACCTGCTGCTTCCACACGTCACGTATGTCCACGCCCAGCACCACCGATGCCAGCACGGCGGCGCAGTCCAGCAGCGCCAGCTCGCAGCGCTTGCGCTGGGTAGGCTGCCGCTTCAGGCTGTTTGTCGGGGTCACCTGTGGAATTGACACGAAGAAAAGTGTCTGTGAACAATATGAAAGACTCGGTGTGTGATCCAAGCTTCGTTTGGACACTGAGTATTCATAATTAGCATTTTTACAAGATGTTTAAGTAAACAACCACATCCCAATCGTGCCATTATGATGTGATACTAATAAATATGCCACTTAAAATTAGTGTGCCGTTCCAGCCGCACTCTCTTTAATGCTTTTGCAACTAAGGTTGAAAACGTTTATGCACTCTGTCCATTCATCCATAGTAGGAGGGGCACTATAACTATCACGAACCAAAATACAATAGGAACGGTACTTTAGGACGACGTCTTGGTGTTTGGGGCCTTACCCTATCGAAAACTGTCAAACCCGACCCAATGGTTTCCCAAAACGAGACACTAACCAGAGCATAATGGAACTAATTGCAAATACGCAGACGCCTTTGGCCGACAGCTTCCCATAGACTTACGTCCCGCTGATTAAATACACTTCCGCGGACAAACGCTCGACGGAATGCATGACACAACAATTCTGCGCGCGACGTTTGTTTCGAGAGGCCAAGCGGGAACCTGCGGCGTGCTGGAGGCCGAGTTAACGGGCGTGGGCTCCTCGGTGGTGTCGCTCCCTTGTCCGCACGCCACGGCGGGGGAGGCGGTGGCGACAGCGGCGGCGACGGCAATGGCGGCAATGGCGCCGTTCCCAGGCCACGAGTTGCGTGCGCCCGTGAGCGGGAGCTCGAGTTGTGCACCCGTCGCCTGAGGCGTGGGGTCCGAGCTGGCCTGGGGCTCGGGCGAGGGCACGGCGTCGCCACTCTCGCCTGTGGTCCCATCAACGTCGCGTCGCCCACACAGCGCGCGCCAGAGTTGGTCAGATCTCAAAAGGCTAAACAGAGTTGAGCCTGGTAAATATTTGTAACTGGGGCCACTTGAAGATCAAACCTCACTCCCTGGGTTTGATCTTCCATGAAGCTCATGATCGAACTCTAAATCGAACCCACTGCACAAACCATGGCAACAGATGCAGATACCTGATGCACAAATGGAAAATTAACAACTCTCCAGTTGTGTGCGACTGTGGTCACCCGGAACAGACCGTACAACTTACAACAACGAAATGCCCGATACACAATTACGATGGAGAGATCACAGCCATACACTCCACTGCTCCTGACACGGTTATCTGGCTTGACCACCCACCTGAATGTGAAATTGTAGTTGTTGCTGTGCAACTATATCGGCCATACGAAAGAAGAAAACTGTGGGAATAATACACTTTGTAGGCTCGAGCTGTGAGATGACCAGGCTATGGCAGAACAGCAATGGACTCTTGAAAATATCTGTGCATTGATTTGAGTCCGACCCACTCACATCAGTAGGTATCCTCTGGGTACTCCAGTTTCCTGTCGCAGGCACACCACTTACGACTGGAATTAGGATAAACATCCAATCCCCTGAGGACCCCAGTGAATGGGGTCCTCTGGGACCCTCGATGAGCCACGTAGATTTGACAAACCTATACCTACCAGACCTGAAAGATGGCCAGAAGATGGCAGTACAAGCAAGTGAATTTGTGATCCTACTGTATGGACCTTACAGTGTTATCAAAAATAAATCAAATCAACAAGAATTTGGCACACAATCCTCCTAAACATATATCCAGACACAGTGATGCTCTCTCGAAAACAGATCTATATTCTTTTTCAAAGGCAGTGCTCGTCGCCGGTTTACACCCATGAGCCAGTGGGGGAAATTCCACATTTCTATGGTGGGGATAGGTCTAGGCAAAGGACAACTGTTGATAACCCCACAAGGTCACACTCATTTTATCAACTCAGGAGGAGTCTTCTTCTTTTGTATAGCTAATGCAGAGCAATAACTACAATTTCAACAACTACAATTTCCGATCATCGATCTGCTGGTCTCCAGAGCAACAACACAAGCCACGCCAGAGGCCATCTTCAGGGCCAAACAATGTGCCCAGGAGGAGTGATTCGCTCAGTCAACCCTCCCCCCCCCGACCAGAATTTGAACTCGCAACATTCCCATTGTAAGCCGCTCGCTCTATCACCGAGCGCCACCTGGCATATACTATCTATAATTTTGCACGAAATCTGGATGCGTTGACACGCAGGAGGCAGACAGATTGGGGAGCCGCGTCCAACTCAGCCACGCGAAATCAAGGCCCAGTTCCACATGTGGAACGGGGGTGGGGGAGAAGGCACGCACCCGTCTCGTGCAGGCATGAGAAGCCCACAGCCGCGGGCAGACTGGCTCGCTGCGGCGTCTTGCCCAGGTTGGGAGTGCTCGACGACCACTGCTTGTTCTCATCCGACAACGGCGTGAGCCTGTGGGTGGGTGGCAATGGGGACGGGGGGGGGGGGGGGGCGACAGGAGGGGGGTGTGCGGGACAAACAGTGGGGATGGTCACGGGCCAAAGGGGCACGCATGGATAGGTTAATACACTTGCGGAATACACAGTTGCGAATTAATACATTTTGAAGGTTTTGAAGGAATCCAAATATAATGTGCGTAAAAGCAGACTGGTGATAGCACCGGAAGTCATGCATCCTGTATCGAGGGGTGTCCCTGAAAACAATAGCCCACGTCCACATTCAAATTCAGTCTCAAGTATCTTTTGTAGGAGGGTCCTGCCAAGTTTTCTCAAGTGGGGGGGGGGGGGGGGGTGTTAAAGTTGCAGTGTGTGATCTTAATTGAGTAATTTGCAGGTAAATTTCCAGCATTAGGATGTTTGCCCAATATCAGTCGCGTAGTGCATGCGTGTGTTTTTAAGCTATCGGAGGAAACCGAACAGCTCGGAGCATACCCAGTTTTTACAAACTCCAGATGAAAGGCCAAGCTGCCGCCCAATATAACATTAGTGAGTGAAGAGGCAGTAAGAAAAATACTTTACATTCAGTTTGTTGCTTATCTGCAGACTCTAAGTACATAAAATATATAATACAGGCATACCCCAGTATCCACCCAGAATGCATTCCTAAAAAGCACAACGTGGTGGTGAGGCGTTTCCCATCTGTGCTTGTACAGACTTAGGCAAATACACAAGAATTCAGAAGCACACAAAGAATGATTATTTAAGCAAAACAAGACTATTGGGGAAAGGTCTGCGATGGAGCATCTTGCAAGGCGAACAAGACACAAAATAATCAGAGGTGTGGCGTGCACCAAGACAGATATCCCTGCGATAACGTTCATACATTGTACAAGGTGCTAATTTAAAGCTAAATTTACCAAAACGGGACCCAAGTCCGATTTGGATACCATGTGCCATGGATGTAGCCTACGGGTGGAAACTGAACCCAGATTGTCGAGATCCTAAATGCAATCGATAACCAATGCACCATCTCACCCCACATTAACCGCACACACAAAAGACAAAGAACCCCCACATAGCCTCAACAGACTGTTGTGGCAAGCACCGTTCGTGAACACCTATGAATGCCTGCACGACACGCGACGGGGGTGGGTGCACATTACCGCGCCCGGCCGCCTTTATCGCTTCAGTGTTTACACACCGCACCAGGTACTCATTTGAGGCCAAGTCGAACACAAACACACTAAGTCACAAAGATACAAAGACACACACATGAGACACACCACCCGGAAATAAGAGGCAGGAACAAAGCAACAAAATCAAGTTCGGTGAGGAGGTCGCGCCAGCTGCTCAACTCAGCACGGCGGCATCAGAAAGGAAAGCGGCCGCTGCAGAGAGAAGCAAGAATAAAAGGTGAAAAGGAGGAAAAAAAAATTTGTTTAAAAAAATTAACCGGGCCAACCTTTCGTCACTGCCATTCAGGCGTTGGGGCTCGGGCGACACCATGAGGGGTTCGGCAGCTGGAACAAACCTATGGTGGGGCGAGCCCGGGGCAAGGCAGCACCACGACGACAACGCAGAGCAAACGTGAATTACAAACACATGGCGACCGGCACCGACGCACACGACCTGTCCAACGATACAACACACACGCAAAACGACAATGCAAAAATGACCGCAAAAGAAAACAATAAAGCCAAATATATATGGTCAATGAAAATTAATACTGATAATGGCATCATTATGGTGTAGGAATTCGTTGGAATTTCAGTCGATCGACTGATCGTACTTTCACAACAAGTTAGCTATTGCTTGCTTCTACTGCAATTAAATCACAAAATTATAACAGAAAACTAAACATGAAATGGGGCACGATATGCTGCAGGTTAGTTGATAGCTAAGCAGGGCTCCCCCATTAATGTCGCACGTGAAATTTAAATCCCAGCTTGCCCTTCATCACCACATAGGGGTGAGTAAAATGGGCAAGCCTGATTAGACTCGACCACTATTTTCCCATTGAAATAAGTCTGAATGCCCCTCTCGATAGTACTTTAATTTCGTCAAGATCAATACCTTTCAAATAAGTTCCAGCTAGGGATGTAACTGTTTACTCATTGAAATATATTCTTACTTTCCCGATTCAGGGTCACGATGCAATGCAAAAATCTATCATATTTTTGGTGGTAACATAGTGGCCTTTAGTTATTACAGGGGTCACAAAGCCATCATACTCGTCCTTACGATTTTTTTAAACTGTCAAAATTGTTAGGCTTTCGCAACCAATATTATCCATAATAAACGTGTATTTTGGGTTACATTAACCCCCCTCTGGTCTTCGCACCTGATAGGCTCACTGTGATGACATTGTCTGTATTCTATTTGAGACCAAAAGAGGAAAAATTCTTCACAATTCTGGCTATCACCTAATCAAGCTGGTTGCAATTACCAGAAAAATGTCGTATTCGAATTGTAAATGTTATCGGTTTATTCTCCAACACATCGGAGTGCTGAACTAGTAACTAATCGGCATGTTTTGTTTCTTTGACAAACCTTGCTAATTGGCTGTGTCAGGTGGTGGCGGGTTTAACGACATTCATATTCACGCGATCTAACCCAAAAAAACCTGGTATGGATAATCAATGAATGCATATATGTTCATGTAAACATGATAAAGTATGCTGCTTCTGGGCACTACAGAAGCACAAAATGCCAGCGTCAGACTTGCTACTAATTCGGACTGGTTTGGGCAGGGGCCTGTAACATCTTGCTACCTTTTGCAGGGATAGAGACAGGGTCCCTATTTGTCGCACACCTGTCTCTTTATCGGCTTTATAAACAATCATGACGGGTCAAGGGAATCACACGATGGGTTTAAACCACTGTGAGATAAAATCCGGGCGAGCTCAGACCAGGAGAAGAGATTTACGCGACAACTGTCGATTCTACATTCACCAGCACAGAAAGCCATGGAAATAAAAAGAAAAACGATCGATTCGTGAACAAGGTCATGACCCCGAACCATGAAAACTCATGGAATCGTGGAGGGGGTAAATCAGCACACCTCGAAGCTGGATGAATCCCCGTCTCACCGTTTGTGGTGCCACGGTGGCGAGATGTCAACTACCTCGCCTGGTATCCAGGAGATCGTGGGTTGGATCTCAACCCTGCTGTATATTTGAAGTTTGCATGTTCTCTCCCCGTGGTCGCGTGAATTTTCCCGCGGGTCCTCCGGGTTTTTTCCTCCACATTTATAAAAACACGCGTTTAGAGTATTTAGCCGTTAAAAATTTCCACGCGACAATAAGCCACTTCGTGTGAACTATCATTTGTGATAGCCAGGTTGCTTCTGAAAAAGAGCTACCTAGCTCAGTGAGGCCTTAACCTGGCAAAATAAAAAAAAGTTTATTTTTTTTTACAGTTTACCTGTCCTCCCAGGAGCCCCTCTCGCGTGGCTGCTGCATGGTGCTGGGCCCCCACGTGCGACCCTTCTTGCGCTGGCCCTTGCGCTCCGCCTCGTCTTCCTCATGCTGCGAGCGAGGGCGCGAGCACACCGACCCGTGCGCCCACGTCCTGGTCCCCTCGCGCTTCTCCACCGCGGCTGTGTCGTCCGTGCGCACGCACGCACGCACGCACGCAAAAAGACAAAGATCCCCCTCCGTATCACGTTATGGTGATGGGAATTTCAAATCGAGCTGATATTTGATGCGGCCTCATTCTTTCACGTGAGTCAGAGGCCCACTCTTGAGCTGCTGGCACCTATGATTCTGCTGTGCGTGGCCACCAACATCCAGACAGATCCCCCGTGTAGCCTTAACAGACGTTTGGAGCAAGTGCTGTTCGCGAGCAGCACCTATAAAGGACGGCACGGTACACGAGGGAGTGAGTGGCCAGCAACACGCACAACCACATTTTTCCCCCCAACAGCGATATTTTTACACACAGCACCAGGTACTCATTTGAGGCTGAGTCGACCTAGGGGAAGCCCAGAAACGGTTCAGATAATCGTCACTGGTGTTGGCCGTGAGCGGGAATCAAAGTCACCAGGTTCGTAGCACAGCGCGTTAACCGCTACACTACCACTCTCACACACACAAACACACTAGGAGGTGGTGTGTCGCTGTATGTCACAGCTGGGGGTGCGGGTTTAATGGTTCTGGTATTTTTTTTTCCGTGACCAAAAATATACTGACAACTGTCATTGTCCAATCTCATTGGATTGTGGGTAATCAAGGAATATATCAATCACTACATGGGGAAGGAGCGTTTCATTGTATGCAGCACTATTCTAATTTCACTACTGGATAAAAGTCAGTCCAACGTTTGCCTTTTTGACCCGGGTGCAATGAAGTTGAAATAAAAGCTATCGGAGTTATGTCACTAGTGCCACTGCCATGCTTGAATTGAACTCTGGAGTCTATTTTCTCAAGACGCAGAGCCAAGGTACCAAACTAAGTCCTGTTTGTTATTTGTGTTGCATCTTCTATTAAACAAATTCTGCTGGAAAAAAAAAAAAACATTGGTCCAGAAGACTCGCTCATTGATGGACTCGTGACTTTATTTCTTCGACTAAAAATACATTTTCCCTATCAGTTTGCAGTGAGTTTTGTTTTTGTATGGCCCAATCATTAATTAATTGACGTGCTCTACACACCAAGTCTACTTGATGTCGTTGGGACTCAGATATGAGATGCCTGCACAGAAGTGACCAGAGCGGGGGGGGGGGGGGGGGGGGGGGGGAGATGCAACTGCCACAGATTTCACGTGGTGAGCACGATCAACTAAGGAGGTGCGAGACACGATACCTGAGATGCCGCAGCTGGTGGTAATTAATCATTTCGCGTTCCGATCAGTTTTTCTTCCGATTCCGTTCCGATTCCGAGCATTTATGCCATCAGAACGGAATCAGCTATCATCAAGTGCGATCATGTCGCTACAGTTCTCTGCGGTGAGTACGGTAAAATGTCTTTAAAAACAGCAGTGCTACGCCTCTCCAAAAAAAATCGAAGCAAACTTCTTGCGCGTTCCGAGATTCAGGGACCCACCCTGCAACTTGCAGGCATCTTGGAACGGGAAAGGGTTAAGGTATGGACAACATGGCAACTGCTGTGTGGGGGGGGGCTCACCTTTCGCAGCGCCATCAGACAGAGCGCACTCGCTGGTGATGTCAACGTCCTGCTGGTACACGTAGCTGTTGCGCTGGGGGCTGGGGAACCCTGACTGCCCCTCGGATCCCGTGACTTGAGAAAGCAGAAGGGAATGGTGCGGAATTAGACACGAAGAGAAAAAAAGTAAACGCAATGCAAGTTCATTGATGCATATGCTTGAAACGTATGAATGTACTGATGTTCATCGATTCATATTGATACAAGCAGCGAATCGCGTATGAAAGAATCGCCGCTTTTACATTTCACGCAGATCATATGCTGATGTTACACTAAGGCTCATGGAGTGAACAAAGAGGTGAAAATGAGACTGAGCAAATAATTAAACAATACAATAGAGACAGTGAAAAAGTCAACGTGCAGTCCTTAAATTACTGCTGGTGGAAGGGCCTACCCTTCCGCAATGACCAGTCGTCTTGGAAGACTTAGGAGTACCCACACTTTACCCTACACCACTCGCGACCTATCGATCGATTTCACCGCGATAACAGTTTTTGGGATCACAATCCGGAAGATCAAATCCAACCGGCGGCATCCGGATTGCAAGGCCCGGCGTGCAAACGAGGGACTTACATCGCAGAGTAAGAGACAAAAACAATGTGTTCTTTGGTTCTTTCGGTAAAGTCACGGAGAATGAGAATAAAATAATAAATTGATAAAATAAAATAACACAATAATATTCTCACGACGTTTTGGCCACAACACAAGCGGCCTTCATCAGGTCTATTTATTTTATCAATGTATGATTTTATTCTCATTCTACGTGACTTTACCGAAAGAACCAAAGAAGATGAATCCTTGCAGTCACGAAAGCTTTAAATCGAAATAAAAACAATGTGCTTCACGAATCTTACCGAATCCCGAAAATGCTAAGACGACGGGGCAAAACACGGTCGCGGAAGGAAGGCTACTCACGCTGTATGGCCCTGAGCCGCGGCTTGATGGTGGGGCTGCCCGGCGGGCTCGATGAGCTGCTGTTGATGAGGCTGCGGCGCTTCTCGACGGTGGGCGAAGCCTGCACCGTGATCTTGTGCTGGAAGTCGGACGGCAGGCTGATGCGGTTGCAGTCCTTGAGCTTGAGGCGACTGCGCTTGAACTTGCCCTTGCGCTTCTTGACACGCGGCTTCTCCTGGTTAAGCTGGTGGATGAGGATGTTGAGCTCGCGCTCCAGCACGTCGATCTCACGCTCCGCCAGCTCCTGCTCGCGCCGACGCAGGCACTCCTCCTGCGTCTTTTGCTGCACGGCCGCGCGCGTCAGTTCCTCCTCCCAGCTGCGAAGCTCCTGAGGGGCGCGCGAGCAAGCGGCCGTGAACGGTGGGATCCCGCGCCGCGACCTACGTTTACGCGGCGCACGGCGGTAGCCGGCCGAGGCCAGTTGTGCCCTGCCCTGCTCCCCTTCCTCCATTTACTGGACATCTGTGAAAGAGCTTCATTGCTCATCAGATTCTTCCAGCAAAAATAAAGGTCCTACAATCCACCGCGGAGGCGGAGGGGTCGGTGGATCGCACAAATGTTGTGAAACTCCCATCTCGTGGGCGTCAACGAGGTGCCATACCCTAAGGCTTGCCAGAAGGCAGGACAGAAAAATGTATTCATAATAAAGGTTTTTGGGTTAGATCGCGTTTATTTATAAATGTGTCGTAACCCTCCACCACCCGACATGACCAATAGTGAACTATTTGACAAAAAGACAAATAGTTCACTACTTTAGCCCACCGGTGTGTTGAAGAGTGAATCCACATTTACAGTTTGAGTACGACGTTTCGCTGGTAAATACATCCAGCATCATCGGGCAATTCGCCAGAATGGTAAAGCCCTCGCTTGCTCCCGGTTTTATATAGAGCAGCAGGGTGACGTCATCACTTAACTCATATCAGGTGCAGTGATTAGAGGCGGAGGGGGGGTATTGTAATTATATAATCGATTAGTAATCAGTCATTGGTTATGATTAGTAATGAGTTGTAGATTAGTAATTCTTTAAATCTAAATGTAATGTGTATTATTTAATAATACGCTTCCAGGCCACACTAAGCCTGTAGCTGTCAGAGGGATTAAAGTTATTCTTGTTCCTCTCAATTTAATTACAATACCCCCCCCTCCGCCTCTAATCACTGCACCTGATATGAGCTTTCAGTCAAAATAACGAAATGGGTAAATTCAGTTATCACACGAGGCAGGCAGGCAGGCATGCAGACAAGCTAAGCGACGGGATTAAATGGAACAGGGAAGCCACCTTCTCTTTGGCTCGGAGGTCGTCGAACATGTGCTGGATCTCCACCTTCCAGTCCTCCTGCATGGAGTGGAACGACTCCGGGGGCATCTCGAGCAGAATGGACTCTTCGATGGCTGTGAGCTGCTCCAGGATGGAGGCGAAGGAGGGGCGTGCGTGTGGGTCTGCCTTCCAGCAGTCTGCCGTGGGTGTGTCACAAATAAATGGCCATCATTTGTATCGGATGTGTCAATTTCCTCGTTTGTCTTTCACTTTGAGACACCTTCCAACAGGGTGCCCCTGTTTGGCTCAGAGATTACAGCGACAGGCACAAAAATGCAGGCAGCCACCTGCCATTAAACTGGGTGCTCAAGTCAGGTGATTTTTAGACGGAATCAACCAGCGCACAAAAAAAACACTTTCAATTTGGTTCTGCACTGCATTCGGCTAGGTTTCAGCTCTGAAAATATTTTTTTAAACATATATGTTTGACTATATTCAGAACCTGTAATATGACGAATTATATCATGTTTTTTTTTATATTGTGTAGTGTTTTGCGCAGTTATTGGTGGTCTTTGCCAAATTAGGTTACTAATTTTAATGGCATGGCTCTGATGGTGAACATTGAGGGCTGACAGACAATCGTGTTTCCATTGAATTCTGAGAGTGTTTTTCTGGCTTAATGCATGTAAACACATTGCACAACTTATAACAGTAATGTACAAAATGTGAACTATTGCCAGGCTCCATCATAACCTACGGGACAGACTGTGCAGCTCAGGCCATCGTCAACTCAATGAACTACCTCATCACATAGAAGGAACAAGGGAATTTATGACACAAGTTAATGCAATTAAAGGTATTAAATGGAAGATATGAAATGTGGTAAGAAATGTGGGTGAAAGGGTTGTACACACAAGTGGCTTTGAATGTGCCTACAGCCTGGGATCAGTGTGTGTGTGTGTGTCTATGTACGTACGTGTATAGGACTCGACCTCAAATGAGTACCTGGTGCGGTGCGTTAACATCGCCACCAGGGAGACAAAGGTGGCCGGGCGTGGTGCTGGCCACCCATCTGCTCGTGTGCCGTGCCAGCCTTCATAGGTGATCGCTAACAGCACTTGCCCCAAAAGTCTGTTAAGGGGGATCTTTGTTTGTCACCCATACTTCCTTGTGTACTCCTACTTCAAAGATACATTTCCAACCCAAAGCCACCGCCTTTATTTCCCGACATACGCATATCCACTTTGATATGTTCAGGTGCTTTGAGGGTGACATTTATAATCTTTATAAATAATTATTCTTAGGTGGCTAAGGCTGCGCTGCACTGCAGTCCAGGTGCAGAGAAGTGAATAATCAATCGAGGGTCACAGCGGTGATAGCTCGTGGGCAGAGTAGGTATTTCAAAATAAACTCTTCTCTTCACTCAGTGCCCATGCTTGCAAGGAATTGAAAATGTATGCACGTATGAACCTTTTCCGCACCGTACGTAGCCAACCGTGTTAATCAGAGGTGCGGGGGAAATACAACAAACTAAAAAGAAAACGCAGTTCTAAAGAAATGCGTTTTCAATCTAGATTATTTAAAAGTGCATACAGCTCCAGTGGCTTCCTAATATTGAAAAGAACCCCGTTCCAGACGGTCGCAGGAGTGCATTTGAAAGCATCCAATCAAATGACCGAATAAAAAGTTGTGCAGGAGCTGATACGGACGGAAAAAATCCGTATTGTGACAAAATGACGTGCCGTGTTGTACTGTGTTGCAATGCCATCTTTACCGGCCATGAGCTTGGCAAATGGCTCTGGGCAGGTGGAGGGGATGGGCAGCGTGAGCTTGTTCACAGCGACGCCGTAAGCCACGGTGAGGCCGTCGATGCCGCGGTACGGCACCTCGCCGGTCAGCAGCTCCCACAGCAGCACACCGTAGCTTGGGGGAGTGACGCGAGCAGGAGAGGCAGACAAAGGGTAGGTGGGCAGTCGGGCATGCGTTAGGAGCTGCTCATTCGCCCATACATACAATCGCCTCGCTCACTCATACGGATGCTCGCCAACTTGCTTGCTTGCTTTCGCACTCACACACATTCCTTGACAAGACAATGATCCCCCCCCCCGTATAATCTTCAGAGACCTTTTGGGGTGAGTGCTATTCGCGAGCACCTATAAAGGCCAGTAGGGCACAAGAGGGGGTGGGTGGTCACATAGTGGCAATGTTTACACACTGCACCAGGTACTGAGGCCGAGTCGACCCAAGGGAGGGCCAGGACCGGTTCAAATATTCGTCACTGGCGTTGACCATGGGTGGGAATCAAACTCGGGTCATCTGGTTCGTAGCGCAACGCAGTGCCGGATTAAGCTAGTGCAGGGCCTGTAGCATATGTTATAAAGGGCTCCTAAATAAAGAAATAAAACACAAATATTAAAAATATGAGAACACATCGTAAAGTAATTGTATTTTTTCATTACCTATACAACCAGATAATACGGCAAATCGCTAACCTTAAACACCCAGTCGTTCATAAAAGTCTAAGGCAGTATAGTACCATAGCAATTGCAAAATCACTGAACCGGAATTGATAGCTTCAAAGCATTTAGCGCGGGACCCTTGAAAGTGCGGGGCCCATAGCATATGCTACTATTGCTACTAGGATAATCCTACACTGGCGAAACGTGCTAACCATTATCACAACCGCTCCCTACACGCGCACATTCCTTGAACACACTTCAACACTCACACGTTCAGTCAATTATTGACTCGATAAGAAGTCTGACTCATAAACTGACTCACAAGATGACTCTCCTTCAGTCACGTGCCAATTTGTACACACTTTCTCACTCACAAGTTAACACTCATTCGCACTCGTTCATCCGTGCTCATTCTTCAACTCACATTCAATCTTGAATACAGCACTCACCGTACATAATGCTAGGGTGGTGAAAGGACAGTAAACCAATTAACTATTAATCCGTCTATGTGGGGTTTTGAGTGCTATCCTCTTGTACGCACGGAAATTCACCAGGTACCCAACCTCTGTATCCCACAAACAAAACCCTTATTATTGGGATTCACTCAACATGTCAGCAGTGGCAGAGACCCAGTAGTAGTGAGATGTTAACTACCTCGCCTTGTATACAGGAGGTACATGGGTTCAATCCCAACCCTGACGCCTCTATATTTGGAGTTTGCATATTCTCCCAGTGGTCGTGTGAAATTTTCTCCGGGTGCTCCGGTTTCTCCCTCCACACATTTAGAAACATTTGTTTAAGAGTATTTGACTGCTAAACATTTCCATGGGGTAAACCACTTCGTTGAGCTATCGTCTGGGACCTGGTCGCTTCTGAAAAAGAGCTACATAGCTCAGTGGGCCTTAGCTGGTAAAATGTATTTAAAAAATAAGTTTGCCATTCCCAGCGAGCAGCGTGCGCATGCTCACCTCCAAATGTCGCTGCCCTTGGAGAACATTGAAAACTTTATGACCTCGGGCGCCATCCACGCGTACGTGCCAGCCTGGCTCATCTTGGTGGTGCGGTGCCACTCTCGTGCCAGCCCAAAGTCTGTGATCTTCAGCGTCTTCTTGCTGATGTCGTCGTTCTCGATGCGCTCCAGCAGCAGGACTGCGTGCGCGGGGGGGGGGCGGGGGGAGACACGAAGGGTGTTCAACTACAGCCATCACCACCGCGCTGAATCGAAATGCTCACGTTTCTGTTTATTTGTATGGCAGCTCGCAGGGGTTTAATGTGTTGAACAAAGTATTGTATTCGCAGGCGGCATCTCGATTAGAGCGGGTGCGCTGCCGATAGGACGAAATATTCACGTGCAATAATATTTTTCTGTTTTGATAATTGGTTTTTTACCCTTTTATCTGGCAACAAAACTGACACCTTTTTTTACAAGGAGCCATGTTTACATTGACCACAACACCTGCGGTCGGAATGCAAACAAAAAACAGCAACTCTGATAATGTATGCACTGTCCTTGAAATTGATTGGTCCACACCCGAGACAGCATTCTTTAGAGCCTCGTCTCACATGGTGTTGGACCAGAAGACGCCAAAAGGCGCACAACTCAAAGACAATGCACCATCAAGAGTATGAGAGCTCGGGGTAAGCATTGACACCATTGGAAACCTCATTTGCCAGTAACAAAATATGATAATTGTTTTTTTACCCTTTTATCTGGCAACAAAACTGACACCTTTTTTACAAGGAGTCATGTTTACATTGACCACAATACCTGCGGTGCCACAACCGCATTCGATCTAAAACATAAAGAATGTGAACATTTTTACCATGGTTAGGTTTGTTGGAAGGATATACATTAAAACTAGATTCGAAGCTTTCATGACTGTAGGAATTGCTCTTTGATTCTTTCGGTAAAGTCACGTAGAAATAAATTAAATTGTATCCAATTATTTATTTATTTTCTACGTGGCTTCACCGAAAGAACCAAAGAAGATATACATTGCTATGCGTCTGAACACGTAAGTCAGTGGCAGCCATACCTGCCTAGTATGGGTTTACTCCACATTTCTCTGAATGTTATCAGATATTTTTCTCTAGATTTCTTAGGGTTTTCAGACATCCATTTTTTTCAGTTAACAATGATTTACAACACGCGTAAATTTACAAATATGATATTGGGTCATGTTTAAAAATAACATCGTTCCAAAAAATGAACTTTCACTCTGTTCTAGCACCACTGCTTTGGAAGGCCAGGGACTTTTTTTATCGCACTGCAAAAAACAACCGTGATAAACGTGGCTTTATAACAACAGATGGCATTCCTGTGATGTTTTCAGAGATCTATAAAATTCAAATCTCAAAGTGCACTAATGCTTGAACGAGTATTCAGCAGTGGCAACTATAGTTGCGAGGCTAAATACGCTGGTGGAAACTCCACATTTATATGGCAGAGACCGGTCCATTCAATATTTATGTCACACTAAGTGGTGCAGCCACAGACGTTGCCATTCCTTTCACAGACTTCGAAGGAGTGAGGATCACAAAGGTTGGGTAAGTTGACTCTTGCTCGGATGGCCAAATACTCAAAGAGAATGCTGTCCATCGCTTGTCAGTAAATCACACGAAACATAAATGGCCAACTGGTGCAATGCGGGGTCAAGATTCAAGCCAACAGTTGGTTCTTTTACATTTTGTTTGTACTGTCCATTTATATTGCCTGCCTTGCAAGTGCCATCTCATTTGGTCCATGAGCCTAAAGGTAGCTTATACAAATCATTTGCACAAATCGTTAATACTATTTTAAATGCACGAGTTGAAGCATATATCGTAGGCCAAGATTTGATTTTAATCAATGAATTGTCATATGGCTAATCACAAGTCGTAATAACAGGTGTATGTAAAAACATATCATATTCACTGTGATGTTAAACGAATGGATAATAACTGAAGAATTATAGCTCACAAATATTACTGTTAACGGGGAGCGGTAACGCAGTGGTTCACACGCAGAATTATGAACCTGGTGAAAAGAGTTCAATTCCCAGCCGCCGCTAACATCAGCGGTTAGTGAAATCTGAACTGGTCCTACGATACTCCCCACTTGACCAACCTGCACTTGACCAGTGTGGCGAAGTACGGTCAAACAACTCTCATGACTGACACAGCATGAAGAAACCTTCATTCAGCAGTGGATTAACAAAGGGTCACACATTATAATTACTAGAACTAGTAGCCCGCACGTCCTATGGACGTGACCGTCTGTCCGGCCGTCCCATCCTACATGCAGCTAGCAAAACTTTTTCTGATATAGCATGATAGTACGATAGCTTATCCGGTACATTTGCACGGGACCCACAGCTGGGGTTGGAGGGTGAGTAGAGGGACGCGTGACGTCGGCGCGACGCACGAACCCGGCCCAATGCTGAGATGTAGGCGTGGTAACATCACCATCACGAAACTCGCACTTGCCCATACGCCAGCCATCCAGGCCAGCCAGGGAAGGGTCAGCCAGCCAGCCAGCAAAACTTGTTTTTTCTAATATAGGATATCTTTCATAAATACAATGACTCACAGGTATACGACACCGTGACAAATTTTAACAAGGAACGCCAACAATAACGGTCACCGTGACACGATGAACAGTGGTGCCAGTGATGCAATGTTTGAAATGACCTGTCCCGGCAGTGACCTGGACCCACTTTGTACACAACAAAGGGTGCGACGAGTCTCGCGCCAGCGCATGTGCACATCGGCGCTTACAGGACGGTGCAACCGCCCAACCCAAAAAAATGCCCACGCAGGCACAACTTTCTCAAGGCACAAACGTGCCCTTTGTATCAGACACGTCATTATTCACTCGCTGGCGATTTGAAGAATCGCTGTTGTTGTAATTTTGATTAAAGAATCGATATTTGTTTAACATGGATATTAGTGGTGGGCAGAGATCACAATGAATCCATTACACATAACATATTTTCCTAGCCCTTTGTTAATTCACTGTTGGCTGGAGGCCTCCCCACTCCGTGTTGGTCATGGATTGGGGGGGGAGTTGCATGATCATGTCACCACACTGGGCAGTTTATGATTGGTGAAGAGAACCTGCCCAGGACCACGGCTCAGATATCAGAATATTTAGTTATACTGAAGCAATCTGATGAGCTATAAACCTCTTTTTCACAGATGTCCAGTATGGGCAGGTCAGAACGTTACAACAACAAACAATACAAAAACACGATAGAAGTGCAGAGTATAGGAAAGGTAAACAAATCACTCAAAAGATTTTACAAAACTAAACTTGTTTTATCTTACCAGGTAAAGCCCACTGAGCTATTAGCTTCTACTTTAGAAGCGACCTGGCAACAATTTATAGCTCAATGAGTGACTTTTTCAAGTGGACATTTAGAGTAGCAAAATAATCTAAATAATATCACTTTCCACCAATGTTAGCCACAGCCTGCAATTGAACTCAGGTGATGAAGTTGATCGTGCAGTGCGTGAACCACTGTACGACCCTATACAACAAACACAAAATTTTAAACGTATACTCTCTTATCTTAAAAATAAATATTAATCAGTTTTTTCCCATTTTTTTCTGGCAACAAAAAAACATTTTACAAGGAATTGTCTGTACTCTTTGGTTCTTTCGGTAAAGTCACGTAGGTAGAAACAATAAATCATAGCGATTTATTATTTATTTAGATTTCTGCAGTCACGAAAACTTCAAACAAGATTGAATCATGTCTGCATTAACCACAATACTTGTCAGAATGCAAACAAAAAACATTCTGATAGGATATACATTGTCTTTGAAACTGCAAAGGAGGTCCCATGATGTAGATGCTCGCCCCGAGCTCTCATTACTCTGATAGTGCATTGTCTTTGTGCTGTCGACTTTGGTCTAACAACCGTTTGAGACGAGGCTCAAAAGAAAGCTGTCTCTGGTGTGGATCAATCGGTTTCAAAGACAATGCATATAATATTACCAGAGTATGTTTTTTGTTTACATTCTGACCACACGTATTCTGGTTAATGCAGACATGATTCCTTGTAAAAGGTTTTTTTTTGGTTGCCAGAAAAAAGGGGAAAAAAAACCTATTCTCATATTTTGGTACTGGCAAAGGAGGTCCCATGATTAATCAGTGAACTGGTGCATCGGTACACTTCTACTTGACTTTGTTGTGACATCACCATGCTCACTACGGCAGCATCCAAGTCGAAGTGAGAAAAACCACACTCTTAATTAAAGCTGAGCAATTAATTTTGCTAACAAGATTTTAGTCAAATGTAAGACCTTCATGTCACATATTATAAATCCCATCAACCAGCAGAGTGTAAAAAAAAATGGCACTCCAGTAACCGAGCTTACGCCGGGGGTGCGTTCCTGCGTCGAATATCGAAACGACATAGATCAAAGCACAAGTAGTCTGCACACCACGAGAGCTGAAACCAAAATAACGGAGGGTATTGATGAAGCTGTGTTCATCCATGCATCTTCATCCTAGACGTACCCACGACATTACATTAAATTACTAAAAACACTGTACTCATCACTCGTGTACAGCAGTAAACTTTAACACGAATTACGCAGGTACAATAACATACAGTTCATGTACAAAGTAGGTGGAGGCGAAGGCTGAGAGGCGACGGATACGACAAAGACGAATGATGCTGTCAGCGACATAAGTATGGGGTTGAGGCGACGCTAAACAGGTAGCGGTATTAATAATCAAAGTGACGACGTATTTGCGAAACGACGTAAAAGGGGGAGACGTAAATCGGGGAATGACTGTACATGACAAACATACATTTTAGATGGCAAAAGCCGAAATGGAAAGCCCCAGCATGCTTTGCAAGTCAAGATGAAAACATCATATCCTGCACAGCATAGATTGTGATGGCTAAGAGCACAAGAGCTGAAAGTGCAGCGCTTTTATTTTAGTTAACAATAGGATGAGAAAGCCACCTATGGACTGATTGAACTCTTATTAGAACTCATCGTTAGAATACAGCTATCACTTCTCCTCTTGCTGTGTGCAGAACGTGTACAAGAATTATATTGTCACCTTGACATGCACAGCATTCTGGGACTTCCTGTTGTGCTTTGACCACCTAAAACATCTTATTATGGGCTGAAACATTCCAGCCGATGTATT